TTCCCTAGTCTTATTCTTGGAAATGGTTGAGCCATTTTGGCTGAAATTTAAAAAAAAATTTTTTTTGGCTTGAAGCAAAGAGCTGAGACATGGAAAATTTGAGTCCAAACGGTTAAAATTTGGCAAAGTTTTAGACAATGTCTTAAAATGGAGAGTGTCAGATAACATTAATGATAGGTGTTGCTAAGAGCCATATTCATCATATCACATTGCCTGGATTCTGTAATCCTGACTCAGGTAAAATTACCCTTGAAGACTGCAGGAATGAGGGCTACAGCAGTAGAGATCCCATAAGCAGTACTTATACATGAGAGTGGCCTGCTGGTTAGGACACTAACCTAAACATGAGTCTATATGACAGACTTATGTTAATATAACTATATTTCTCAGGGGTGAGGAAAATCTGCACCCCCGAGCAACACTCTTATTCTGATCTAAATCCTGTTTATACATAGCATTGCATCAATGGAAGGGCTTCTCCCCATTGATACAACTACTGCTTCATACAACTATGCTGGGAAAAGATGCTTTCCTGTCGACGTAGGTAGCATTTTCACTTGGCACTACAATGTCACGGCTGCAGTGCTGTAAGCATGGACAGGTTCTAAGAGTTGGGAGACCTGAGTTCAGTTCCCAGCTCTGCCATAAGCTTCCTGTGGGAACTTGGACAAATCACGTAGTGAACAAGTACTGCACGTCTAGCTACTCACCATAGTGAAAGACTCCAGCAGTGGGGAGGCAGCAGGGAAAGGCTCAGGCAGACTTTCACTGTGATGAGGAAAGCCTTTGGTATGAAGGAAAACTCTGTGAGCTGCCAGAACCTTTCCCTATGACCTTCCCTCTGCCAGAGCTTTTGCTTGCTACTGGCACCTTTCACTCTGGCAGAGAGAGGCTCTGGCATGAGGGAGGCAGAGAGCTTCTGAGAGCGCTACAATAATTGAGGTACAACATGAGGAATGGCAGTTTTTATTTTAACATTTTCCTTTTTTCCCTCCTCTAATAGAAAATACTAATTTTATTTTAAGATAATTGTTTTACACTATCCATCTGTAATGTAAGTCATTGTCTCATTTTACTAGATGATTATTTTTATGTATGATGTTTAATGATTATCTCTTCATGTTTCAGGATGGAAAAGTAAAACTGATCAGAGAACTGCGAGAGGAAATTGATAGATTAAAAACTATGCTGCTGAGCTTTGAACTGGTATGTGTCAGTTCTTATCTAGCTGAGCCCTCAGTAGTGCTTTCAATAGCTGTATAAACATAATTGTATATGTTGAATGGGACTGTGAGGGAATGAATCTGTTAATTTGTTGAGTGTTCTCATCACGGTTTTGCACCAGCTGCCCCTCTCCCAGGAAGGCTACATTCTCTGGTATTGTTTCTTAATGACCCATAAGCATAAGCTATTAAGCAATTATTAAAAGGGCCTCTTCCTCTCAGTCTCTAGGATGGATAGGCTGACTCAGCTACCTAGGCTGGTATACACATTCCGTTATACAGCACAAGAGCACCAGGCTAGTAACAAAATAAGAGCACCCCCACCCTTGTCCTAATCCTTTTCTAAGAAAGTGACTAATAGTCCTTAAGTAGTTTAGAGTTAGAACATAGATATTACTCCCTAAGAGATGATGGGAATGGACATAATATACAGCTAGCGTTCTTTGCTGTTTTCCTGCCTGTTTCCTGCTTCTCCTTTGGACCCACTGTGAACTTTAGCACATTTGTGTCGCTACTCCTGCTGCAGGTAGCGGCTAATACTACACTAGCTCTGAGCTTCCCCATTTAGAGAGGGGTAGTGCAAAGGCAGTAGTTAACTATTTATTTCACAGTATCATACAAGCAATAGCAAGAAGTTATTTCCTGAGTAAGTATGGAGGGCAAAATGAGCTGTCTGCCTATATTATCTTTACTTCCCTTGCTTAATTTCTCTGAAATCAGAATGTTTGATAGACCTTGCCTGCCTGGGTTGTAAGAATTTCTGTAATGTTTGTTTGTACAGAGGAATTCTAGCCCTTCTTGGAGTGATGACAGAGATGGCAATCTTACAGAATTAGTTCTTCAGAATGAAATGAAGGTAGGTATATTTTATTAGTCTCCCATCACACACACTTTAATATGGGTATGTCTACACTACAGAGTTTTGTCAGAAAAAAGGCCGTTTTTCCGACAGAACCTGAATTATGTCCACAGAGGGGTTTTTCCGGCATTGGTAATCCTCTTTCTACGAGGAAGAAGCCTTTTTCCAAAAGAGGAAAAAGGTGTGTGTGAACGGGCAAGAGGGAGTTCTTTTGGAAGAAGAGGAAAAAGCAGAGGTGCCCTGGTGGCCACTCTGTCCTTAGTAATCACAGCTTAAATGTGAGATAGTGTCCATTCAGTATGAACGCTGTCTTTCGAAAAAGCAGATCACTTTTTTGATGTGTGGACGCGCTTTCAGAAGAAGTTTTTTTTTGGAAGATCTCTTCTGAAAAAAGGTTCTTCTGAAAGAAGCCTGCATTCTAGACATAGCCCAAGTGACATATTTTTTAAACAGTGAAAATGTTCCCTTAGTAACACTTTTAAACCTGCTGGTGGAATATTCCTAGTTTTCATAAAACTTTCATTGCACAAAGGCAGAGAGATCTGTTCAGTTCACAACAAGCATTCAAAATCTCCTTCATAGTTCCTGGTATGTTTTTCATATACCTATGTAACCTGGCCTTTTTGAGTGTTCCGTAGCACCCAGCACTATAGTAGCAATGTGCCTGTCAGGTAAGCTAGATGTATGTGTTGAGATACCAAGTGGACTTTAAGGAGAGAAGTTTTCTACCCTTCTCTCTGAAGTTGTTAGGAAGACACAAACAATGGAAAATGAGAATTGTGTTGTCTGTTAGTACTTATTGACATGCTAGCTTCTGAGTGCCACTTGAGTGCAGAAAAACTTTAATCTTGCAGAACTGCTAAATTGCATAGGGCGGTAGCTCTGCCTCTCACTGAACTGACTTGGTCAGCAGCAATGCATGTTTCCCATTCTGCCCATCGGTTCACTGTCAGTCTTCACCTTTAACGAACCACATCTTGGGGATATAATAAAGGAGATGCTTGACAACTTAATCTTATATCTATATGGTTTCTTTATTACAAGTGGCACTCAAGAATATTGTTGTTTACAGGATTTAGCAAAAAAAACCAAACATTCTCCTTTTAAAATGTGTGTTTAAATTGTATTTTTGACAGCAGAGTGTATTTAATCAGTTCCCCTGTTTTGCCTGCACAGTCCACAAGTAAAGTACTAATTAAATAGCAGAAAAAAACTTTATGGATATCAGCAAGCATGCAGAAAAACTCTCAACTTTCGTTTTTAGAGAAATATTTCATAATCACAATTTTAAAAATGTTCTGCTAGAAAATTATGTCTTTAAAAACTGGTCAGTTTTGTTAGCTTTCAAAAACTCAAGTTGATAGTGTACCTTTGTCTTCATGGTTTTCATGTCATTGATCTTTCTGGCAAGACTATCAAAACCTATACCAAAAGTGACTGTAGTTTTGAGATACGGACACTTGTCATTTTAAGACCTGAACTGAGATCACCAGTGTATTTCATATAAATTACTTCACAATTATCAAAGAATTAATGATATTTAGACTACAGAGATAACATTAAAGGACCACAAATCACCACTGATCTGGAGTGGATTTGAAGTCTTAATTTTAAGATTCAGTGAGGGTTATAACAGCACAAAAATTATTATTTAAATAGTTTGAAAAACACCTTGAGAATGTATCCTTTGATATTTTGGAGTAATGTGCTAAGCCCCAGCTTCCCCTTAGAGTGGTGCATTTTTGCACACATGAAATACATTGCAGTTACAGTTCTAATTGCATGTCTAATTATATGCTTTTCATTAAGAATTGCAAGTACCCAGGTTTGCCCTAAGGATGCTAAGAAGCAGGTAATTGGCTAATTGTGTAGTCGATACAGTTTATATCAACTACATGATTAGTCGATAAGGGGAGGCACTCTGTCCCGGTTTGCACCAGAGCCAGGAACTATCCCAGTTGTGACTCTGCAGTTTAAATGTAATAGGAGCTGGGCACACAGGCAGCCCAGTTTCTATTGCATTTAAATTGCAGAGCCACAGGTACAAGCCTGGAGTAAGCAGTCTTGGCTCACACCGGCTCCAGGGCCACAGCGGTACTGCATTTTAAATGTAGTAAGAGCTGCTGGGCGCTTGCTACACTTAAAATGCAGAGCCGCAGCAGGGGTAGCTCCTGAGTCTGGAGCAAGCCAGGACTGCTGTGTCCCCTGCCCCTCTCTCCCCCCCCTCCACTGCACCATGGAGATGGTGCTGGGGGGCGGGGGGGTGGAACCAACTTTTAAGCCAGCTGTCTCCAGCACTGGCTCCTGCTCCCCTCCCCCCTTTCTGCCTTTGATACAGAGGCAGCAAGGGGGAGGGGGAGAAGCGTAGTTGACTACTCAACCAGCTGCTTACATCCCTAGTTTGCACCCATAATTAAATAGAAGATAGAAATTTTGTAAGAGTAAATTGCAAAAGAAAAGCTGCCCTTTTGGGGGGAAAATGATTCTTTTAGCCATACTTTAACTTGCTGTGTAAATAAAATCTTTACTGTTAACTTTCTTTTCTGGTCTTCCTTAAGATCGAACAGCTGACCAAAGACTGGAGTGATAAGTGGACTGACAGAAAAGCCATAATGGAAGAGTACAGTGTGGACATCAACAAACAAAAGGCTGGAGTGACAATAGATTCCAATTTACCTCATTTAATGGCAATGAATGATGATATCCTCAGTACTGGAGTTGTGCTCTATCATCTCAGGGTGAGACTTAATCTCTTGCTTTATTTTTATGACTTACAGTAAGTGTCTTTCCTTTGGGAACAGAGATCCAGATTGGGTGACATTAGAACGGCAATTATTACAGAGCAAAAAGCTGTATTGCAAGACAGCTTCACTGGTAACAGGACAACATTAAAAAAACAAAGGGGAAACTATATTCTACACTAGCTGTACAAAACAAGATATTTTCAGCTGACTATTAAGATGACTTTTATCAGTGTCCATGCAACACTTATGGGGAAACCAAACTAAGTGTCCAATGGCCCAAATAAGCATATAGGCATTTGCACACACAGAATGGGTTCGTGTCACTTTTTGTGGGCTCTGTCTCAGTTCAGGGCAACTACTCCTGTGTTCCCTTTCTGTGGTCCAACATGGGCAGTGATTCTAGACTCCATGCTCCTCCAGCTGTTACCTTTCATGAGTTGAGACCAATCTCTTTCTCTATCCTAAGAAGTTTTTTCCAGGCTGCACCATTTTCTGTCTTCATTGTGATATACCCAGCAAGTCAAACTGCCTAAATAGCATCTGTGCTTTAGCCCAATTGCCAGTAGTTGTAAGCTACCCCACAGCCCTACAGAATAAAAGTTCTTGTATGCATGCTAAAAGCGTAAAAGAGATTACCCATCAGTCTTATGGGACCTTAATATGCCAAAGTCCTTCCAGTTTCTTCCATTTGCTTAATCTGAACAAAGTCCCTCAGACTGTTTATCCAGTAGTCTCCTCTATGTTTACTTATCTCTGTAGAATCAACTTGGAAATACTTTGTATGTGCCTGACCGAGTGATGGTATTTCTCTGGAGGTGTTAGTACTTGAGTGAAATTGCCTAATCACACTCCACTGTGCTTAGTTTGTGGAGAGTGGTGATTACTCTCCCCCATGGTATTACATACAATCCCTGGTTCACAATGATAAATAAACTCAGTACAGTAAGAGTTCCCAAAGATATTGGAGGAAATTGTCATGTCACAGGCTTAATCAATAGTTATGTCAAAGTATGTATGCAAAAGCAGAAGCTTAAAATTTGGCCTGGTGTTCTAATATAAGCACCCTTTACATGGAATGTGTAGTGGATAGTAGCCAGGAGTGCTGGAACCTGTGTAGAAGTGAGATGGCCACCAGCCCCAGAACTGTGGTCCATGTGCTGCGCCTCCTCTTTTCCTTGAGGCTCTGCCCCATGGCCTGGCTGGAAGCTAGAGCCAGTCTGTGGTAAGAGCTGCCTAGGGAATCCAGGACTTTGTTTATGAGCAAAGTCTCACTACAAGTCCTACCATTAGAAACCATTTTTTAAAATGAGATTTAGGCTTCTAGGTCACTCAGGGACAGATTTTGAAAGAATTTAGGGCATGTAAACAAGCAGATAAGCTTCTAGTGGAACTTTCCAAGTATCTAGCACAGTGGTAGGCAACCTGCAGCCTGTGGGCCGCATATGGCCATTTGGGACTTATGTGTGATTCGCAAGAGATTTTGTTTACTGTTGCCCACACCCAAGGTTGCTAGATTCCGCTGGTTTCCAGCTCTGTTTTTTTTTTCTATCAGTATGTAAAGCACAGGCAAGTGAAGTGACAGACCGTGAAATCCATGTTCTCTCTCTGCAACCAATCAAAGTGTTGCTCAGGTTCATTTCGCAAAACGACCCTATCCTGGGAGACCATCTTCATCACTGAGATGGAGGGCCACTCATGCAACCCACTCACTAGCCTATGAGTCAACAGTGTGATGCTGTTGCAAAAAAAAGCAAATATGATTCTAGGTTGTATCAACAGGTGTGTTGTAAGCAAAACTCGTGAAGTCATTCTGCCGCTCTACTCTGCACTAGTTAGGCCTCAGCTGGAGTACTGTGTCCAGTTCTGGGCACCACATTTCAAGAAAGATGTGGAGAAATTGGAAAGGGTACAGAGAAGAGCAACAAGAATAATTAAAGGTTTAGAGAACATGACCTATGAAGCCAGGCTTCATGAACTGGGCTTGTTAAGTTTGGAAAAAAGAAGATTAAGGGGGGACATGATAGCGGTTTTCAAATATCTAAAAGGGTGTCACAAGGAAGAAGGAGAAAATTTGTTCCTCTTGGTTTCTGAGGACAGGACAAGGAGCAATGGGCTTAAAGGAAAAAATTCCTAACTGTCAGGGTGGTCAAATATTGGAATAAATTGCCAAGGGAGGTGGTGGAATCTCCCTCTCTGGAGATATTTAAGAACAGCTTAGATAGGCATCTGTCAGGGATGGTGTAGATGGAGCTTGGTCCTGCCTTGAGGGCGGGGGGCTGGACTTGATGACCTCTTGAGGTCCCTTGCAGTCCTATTATTCTATGATTCTATGATTCTATGTTGCCTATCACTGGCCTAGCACTTAGTTGCCATTGATTTTCATCATTTTCCATTGAAATCAATGAGAGTTATATACTTGGCTGCTTTTGAAAATCCCAGTAGGCATGTATTTGCATCTTTAGGTGCTTAACTGTCTTTAAAGATCTCATCCTTAGGCACTTTTGGAAAATTTTGCCCAATCTTTAGACATGAGGGCTGTGTCTACACTGGCAAGTTATTCCGGAAAATCAGCCGCTTTTCTGGAAAAACTTGCCAGCTGTCTACACTGGCCGCTTGAATTTCTGGAAAAGC